TATATATATATATATATATATATATATATATATATATATATATATATATATATATATATATATATATATATATATATATATATATATATATATATATATATATACATATATAGAAAGAGAGAGAGATAATTTACAATTTTCAGGTAAATAACATTCCAACGAGCAACCTAAAGCAAGAATTGCTTAAGCCAGAGAACAGGGAAATGGATGCAATGGCTACATACAATTACAGAATTTTCCAAATGCTCGAGCAGACCTACAACTTCTCGTAAGTTACACTAAGCCTATGCCTAAGTTACGAAATTTCCTATATAATCTTATTTATATGTGCCACGGCTCAGATACATATTTTTCCATCTGTAACCACAAATTCAAGCGACACCAACTACGTGTTCGGTTAGTAAGTAATGTCTTGAAACAACAGGCCTAGGCATGTAAAATAGAACTGTGGTAACAGAACCCGAAGGCTCAACATCACTAATATTAACGCCATTTGACACGATTCTGACCAGTTCTATCTCCTCCCATACTCTTATAAGAAATAAATTTTCACACACTTCTAATTTATATTCTATTAAAAAGACCTCGTTTCACACGTACAAAGAGTTTACAAATTTGTTTTGTAACCCTACATCGTGATCTTCGCGTTCTGTAGCACGCTATAAATGTATTGCCGTACACTTTACAGGGTAAACATTAAACCCAGTAAGTTCTTTGGGTACGTGGTTGAAAACGGAAAGCTGGAAGGTTTGACACTCATGATGAAGAACCGAGAAGTAGACTTGAGCGTATCTGCTATACTTATCAATCGGGCCCGATACAGATGTATGGATTTCATATCTACACCAACATGGGAATTCAGGTAATAATATATTTTCCAAAGCGTAACCTTAAAAATAATATCCGCAATATTGAGTATTATCGTTATATGCATGGAAACATTGCTGAGGCCTTGTTCTTGGCGCAAACCCGAAGTGCAGCAGCAATATTTACGCAACGCTCACTAGGCACAAACGGACTATGACTGAACCACACTTGCAGCATGCCTCAGCAGTACTGATAATTATCAGTACTGCTGAGGCATGCAAATGAAAATTCTGCAATACTGCGGATATGCATTCACATGGAGTTTGGAACCTGAACCACTATTTCCGAACTCCGCAACGATACTATTAAATTGGTACGTTAAAGTTTAAATTTAAATGAAATTTTAAATGCTGACATTAAGAAAACTTATCAGATGTATGAAACAGATCAACATTCAAAAATGATTCATAAGGGTCATAAAATTATACAATTTTAAAGAGAAGCATTGATATTCTTGAAGATAAATGGAAAAAGTTTACATTTTAAATAGTAGGCACCTAATACACCCAACAAGAAAGCGCAATATTTCACATGCCCCAGCACAATGACAATTCTCTGCATGGACCAGAACAATTCTTGAGAGACTACTATTAAGCAGAAAAAGTTGAAGCGATGCGTTTTTGTTTTTCTCAGTCGTATTACAAATCGACATACGAATTCACAGGTCAGGCTCAAATGTTTAATCAGAATTATTCTATTCATACACAATTCGAGAGGTAGATGTGTTGTTACTTTCAGTAAAAATAACATTTACACCGTATTTAGGCAACTTAACTTTTTCGAAAGCGTAACAACTCAACTGACTTCATGAAGAACCCTTTTCAAGTATCTTTCAGTCTCTCAACTTAAAATTATTCACTGTCAGGACTTTTTCCATAGTCTGTTCTTTAATACCACGACGTTTCGCAGGCTGGTTCTGTCTCCGTCTTCAGGTGAGACCCAACAGAGTAGGTACCTCTCACCTGAAGACGGAGACAGAACCAGCCTCTGAAACGTCACAGGATTTTAAACAAAACACGATGGAAAAAGTCCTGACAATGAATAATTCAAAGTATCTACTCATCAGCAGGGACGGACAAAATTGCAGCCTATCAACTGTTCGACAAATGTTCTGCCTGTCACGAAACTAGCAGACAAGATTATTATTATTATTATTATTAAGTGTTCTGTCTTACGACAGGTCCATTGCTCTGCCCAAAAAGAGCTCTCCAGTTGTCCCTATTCTCGGCTTCTCGCTTTAATTCCTGGAACGTCATCTTCTTTCCTTGTTTAAGGTCGTCGGTTAGCTGTATCA